TTGGAATGGTCATTTAAATGAATGGTCGCAAGTCAAGGACTGTCATGCCCCTGTCAGAGTCTGAATCCAAGGAGGGGGAGGCCAAGCAGCTGACAGGGAGTGGGACTGTGGCTCCATTGGCTGTGGAGGAAACTGGGGAAGGGCAAAGTCCGGCTGGGCAGAGTAGGGAAGAGGTAGAACAAGGGAGAGGGAGTTCAGAGGAAGACCCACCCACCCACCCCCCTCATCCTAGGGCACGCAGAAAGGAATGGAGAAGAGAGCAACGTGGGTTGCGTGGCTTACGGGAGAGGAAAGGGCCCTGATTCCCTTCATTAGCCACAGCTGGGAAGAGAGTTTTAAAAAGATGCATGCTGAGTGCAGTGTCTGCTGGTGTCTGCTGGGAACAAATGTGAGCTTATCTTGTGTTGACTTTGCTTATCTGTGTTCCTGGCGTCTTCCCAACCGTGTTGAGTTATTGCCGTGCCTTCACGCCTGGAATTCTTGCTCCTGCCCTGCCGGACTAATGACCTCCTCTTGCCTTGATTGGACTTATAGTTACAGTTTTGGCTGACCATATTTTGGGCTTGATTCTCTGTAGCCAAAGGCTGTTCCTGGGAGAGTTTTTCTCCAGCCCAGAAGGTAACCAGGATATTGGGGGCAAAGTTGGAGCTAATAAAGGGACTCCTACTGATTATCGAACTGTGTTGCCTTTGTGCCACGCACCCTGGGTCATCACAAGGACTATCTATACAGGTAGACCTGGAATATCATTCAAACGGCACTGAAAAAAGTGACTTATGGCCATTTTTCACACTTTATGACCACTGCAGCATCCCCGTGGTCACTAGATCAAAATTTGGACATTGGCAACTGACTCATATTTATGACGGTTGCAGTGTCCTGGGGTCATGTGATTCCCCTTTAGCAACCTTCCGACAAGCAAAGTCAATGGGGAAACTAACCTACTAACTGCAGTGGTTCACTTAACAACTCTGGCATGAAAGGTTGTAAAGTGAAGCAAAATTCACCCTAATAACTGTCTCACTTAGTAATAAAAATGTGGGGCTCAATTACAGTTGTAAGTCAAGAACTACCTGCAGTTTTTTTTTTTTTTTGCAAAGCTGTTAAAAAGTTGGTTTTGTGCCAGGTCCTGGGAGTGATATACACTCTTGGCTTTGTCAGTAGTTATTTAGGGAGCTTGGCTATTTTTAAATATATATATATATATATATTATCTATCATATTGGTTTTTATCTATTTAAAGCTGCCCACATAGTCACTCGTATAAGGTGGGCAGCTTTATAAATCAATCCATAAATAAAAATCCAGAAGAGATTCAGGGGGAAAAAACTGCTGGAGGTGAAAAAACAGAGAATCAAGGAACTATTTCAGGACAGATAGTAGATGACGTAACAGAGGGATACACGTGTGTGATTAAAACATGGCACTGCGGCCGGCAGCTCTTTTCCTCAAATTAAACCTGAGGAAAGATAATGAATGCCAGTGAAACAGAAGAAGAGAGAGGGAACAGCATGAATAATTCAAAGAAATCCAGATTGCTTGGGAGTTCAGAGGAGCAATTACAAGCAAATGCAATAGCTAAGTTAAGAAACTGGCCCCTTCTCAGAGCAATATCATTTCTGACACATTACTACCAAAAATTCAGCCTGGGATCTGTCATTAAGCCAATGTTTGCTCTGCTGGAGCTGAGTGAAGCTTATTTAACTAGCCCAAGTTCAAAACTCCTTGACTTAATGTAATGTATGAACCCAGCAAAGGTGCGTTTAAACAGTGGTTGGCTTCACACTTTGCACGTGCCTTTTAACTATGTTTTACAAAACAAGCACCAGCTTCGTATCCCAACTAAAATTGGGCATAATTCACTGCCTTGCTTAGCAGCTGAAATTCTCATCCCAATTGTGGTCGTAAGTCAAGCACTGTCTGTATTACGCTTCTTTATTTCACATATCCTTTTACTGTACAAAATTCCACTGAAAAGTCCATCTTAAGACGAGTAGTACCTTTACGTAACAGCAGGGAGCGTGTAAAATGATAGCAACTTTGGCATTCTCAGGAAGACACACAGATAACTTCCTAGCTAGCCCTCTGAATTCATCCCCCTTGCTCAGTGTGGGGGATATTCAGTGAGAATAAACTGCAGTCCATACACCTCACGCCAATACACAAGCCATACAACAGGAACACATTTAGTTCACATCATGGATTGGGTTTGACTTGCGCGAAGTTGATGAGATACTCTAAAGCTGTACCAACCAATCCATCATTATGATCCCCTGGAGAAATCTCTACTAATGGAAAGATACAGCAGGAAAAGTTGCAAGAAGAAATTCAGACAAGCAAGCAATTCATTAAATGTTTATGGATCTCATATCGCATCCAGAAGAATCTAATCTGACACCTTCTTAAGGACCGCTGCATGTAATTTTTAATGTTCCAACTCCAGGTGCAAATTTAAAAAAGGACCCTAAAAAAGAAGATTTGGATTATAGGCTCTATAATAAAAAAAAATTACCGCGTTCTGTTTCAGGCTTATTCTATTACCTAGTGGAATATACAAGATTGGACTTTTTCTTCCTCCCTTTTAATCCACGAAACAACAACCCTGTGAGGTTGGACTTCAAAGAAGGGTGAGATTCCCACTCTGCCTAAGCTTAATATGCAACTTACAAACAACAATAGTCAAATTTGCAAAATACTGTCATGTGAAGTCAAATCCAAGCAAAGGGATTGTGGATTAGTGCAGCATGTTCTCCACTTGGGGATATGTAGATTTTTGTTTCCCAGAATTCCCTGGCCAGATTAGACACTGCTGAGAATTCTGGGAGTTGAAGTCAACACATCTGGAGTTGTCAAGGCTGAGAAGCAGGCGTGAAATCAACATCTCTCTGTCTCTTCTATTTCACTCCCCTGCTCCAAATATCGATACATTATATACATTACTCTTAAATATATTCCCTCAAATATATTACATGTATTATGGAATATATCACCCTTCCCAGTAGTTTTAACCAGTTTTGAAATTCAGCTAAGGACCTCCTTTAACCCTAGGATTCAAAACTTCCCATACTAAACTAAGTCTTCCTTCAACCTTCTCTCACTGCAGATACAGTATATGCCTTCGAATTCCCAGAATTCTCTAGCCAGCATGACTGCTGCTAAGAATTCTGGGAGTTGAAGTCCACAAGTCTTCAAAGTTGGCCAAGGTTGGAAGGCAGCTTTTCACAAACAGGGCAGATCCTTGCTTATAAAATTATTGCCGTTGTCCTAATCTGACTATGCTAAATTATGGGTCTTTACTGCCATCCCTGGAGCACAATTGGATTATCTGTGAAGTCAATCCGGAAGAGAGTCCACACCTGAGCCCAAAGCAAAGTTAAGAACCTTGGATTTACCTCAGGAGTTCAGCTACAATGGACCAAGCAGGCATCAAGGCAACATTATGAAGCATTTCCAGCCTTATCACGCGGCCAACCTCACTCTTCGCACCTGCACAATGACACACCACTAGACAGAGGCATCAAACTAAGCTTAGCTGTTAAAAAAAGCTTCTACCTTAAGAAAAATGAAAAGTTCAGCTTGTAGCAAATGCAAATTAAGTGACTCACAGATAGAACCATCTAGGCTCATTCCCCACAGCCTAATTCCCTTCCTCTTTTTTATCATTTAGGCCAGGGGTCCCCAAACTTGGCAACTTTAAGACTTGTGGACTTCAACTCCCAGAATTCCTCAGCCAGCTATGCATTTAGGTCGGGGGTCCCCAAACTTTCAACCTTGGCCCTTGTTGGGAATTCTGGGAGTTGAAGTCCACAAGTCTTAAAGTTGCCAAGTTTGGAGACCTCTGATTTAGGTCAATGTTTCCCAACCTTAGCAACTGTAAGATATGTGGACTTCAACTCCCAGAATTCCCAACATGGGCCAAGGTTGAAAGACACTGAGATCTAGGTTATATATAAACCTCAGAAAATGTGAATTAGGCCTAATGTTTTACAATGACTTGGCCTAATATTTTACAATGACACTGAATCAAGGAATGGTTTGTTTAGTTATAGTTTAGGGCAGGGATGTCCAACCTTAAGACTTGTGGACTTCAACTTCCAGAATTCCCCAGCCAGTTGGGAAATTCTGGGAACTGAAATCCAAAAGTCTTAAAGTTGCCAAGGTTGGACACCCCAGTTTAGAGAATAAACCATGAAAGGAGTTGTACCCCTACAGTATGTTAAGCTATAAATCATAGTTAACAGTGAACCACAGCTGGAATCCCTTACGGCAAACCAACCCAAAACAAACTGACATTATCTGGTTCTTGCTACATCAAATTAATTAAGACAAACCTAACTAACTTGAACCAGGATATTAAATTTGATCTCATTTGGGTCAATCCTATTAGAGGAGATGATGTTACTCTTTTCCGAGTTTGGGCCCTTTAAATGTATTTGCTTCTCCACTTTGTTTATTTAACAGTGTACCAGTTTACACAAAAGATGACCCAACCACCAAACATTTTGCAAGACTGCATCCTTATCAACCTGCAGGTAAAGAGCAGGAAATCTGAATTATTTCCCTATTTGTATTTCTGAAACTAAAAATTCCTGGCACATGGAAACCCCCAAATTTCTTAAGGGGCTGGACAAATTGTTTATCCCAAAGGTGTATGAAACAGCACTGGTGAAACAACACCAGCCTTTTATCTGTAATGTGACTCCCTGCTAGCCAAATAAACTAAGCCTAAACAGACCAGGCCCAACCATTAGCCAGAATGGCAGCCCGTTCAGGCTGCCACCCTGCCTGTAACACCAAAGACCAGCAACTATTATTTAATTTGTGGATCATTCTCCAATCCAATGCTGAGGACCCCCCCTCTTTGTGGACCAAGCCTGGATAGATCTCAGCGCATAGATCCTTTTCGGGATAAATAAGACTGACAGGCCCCAATTTGTCAGCAAAAAGTTGGAGAAGGGAGCACCATTCAACCAGTAAACCCCAGTAAACCCCCAGGTTACCTGCTCCGCTCCGTAGACAGTGGCAAACTGCACAAACTCCTCTATCCGGACAAATCCATCATCGTCCTGGTCCAGAGCTCGGAAGACGGTTTGGAGCTGAGGAGCATCTTCCAAACAGCCAGGTAGCTCTTCCTCCAGGTGTTGGGCCTGCTGCCCCAAAGGTAAGTGGGGAGCAAGGTCGTTGGAAGACCGGAGAGGAGGGAGCAATGTACTTGGGGGGGTCACCATTAAGGGCCTCAACAAGGGGGCACCCCGGCCAGGGTGAGAGTCCGTGCAGTCCTCCATCTCCTCCGTCCAGGAGCAATCCAGCAAGAGCTCAGCGCTGTAGGATTCCTTTTCCGGAGGGGCTGCGAGATCCAGGAACGACCCTGGGGGGGTCCCCGAAATGGGGCAGAAAGGCTCCTCCGCCTCGTCCAACTCTCCTGGGGTCGTTGCTGCCTCCAGCCGTAAATCCGGAGCAAGGGGAGGTTCTGCTAAACAGCTCCAGGGCTCCCTTTCCTCCGGCTCCTGGATCGGCCCGGCGGCGTCTTGCAGGCGATCTCCCGCACCTGAGTCGCTTTCCTCGCACCTGATTGGACCGTCGGGTCCCCGAGCCCCCGGACCGGGCAGGCAACCTCCGACGGAAGAGGAGGAGGAGGAGGGGGAAGAAGAGGCTCGGCGGGGACCCCGCTCGGCCATCCCGCGCAGCACCTGCTCCAGGGACGGAGGCGGCGTCGCGTCCGGCAGCATCCCGGCGGCGACGGCGCTGCTGGCGGAGCTGCTTCCCCCGACGGGGCTCCCTGCCAAGCGGAACCTCGGCAGCTCCGGACCGGGCAGAGGCGGCGGGGACGGGGGTCGCCGGGGGAGACCCTCGGCCTCCAGGGGCTCCAGACTCAGCCTCGCCTCCCGCACCGTCGAGGCCCCCGGGTTGGCGAGGCTGCGGAGCTCCATGGCCGTCGGAGAAGCGGGCGAGGGTCGCGTGTCTCCAGCCCCCTCCCTCCTCCTCCACTTCTTCCTCCTCCTCCTCTTCCTCCCCCAGCGGGGGCGGCCGAGCGGGGCCCCGTCCAAGCAGCCCCCGTCCCCGGCCCGCAGAGCTCCCCGCGCCGCCTTCTCCTCCTCCTCCTCCTCCTCCTTCGCCCCCGCCTTCGCCGCTCTTTTGGGGGGCGCAGCCGGGGCGCCTCCATCAGCTCCGCGCCCTTCGCATCTCCGGCTGCAGCTGCTCCTCCGCCAGCCGGGCTCGGGCGCCGGGGGCGCGCAAAGCGGGAGCGCGCGCCCGCTTCTCCCGGCCGGGGAGAGGAGTGGGGGAGCGGGAGGGAAAGGATGCAAAAAGAGGGGGGGGGATTTGCAAAAAAAAAAAAAGAGGGGGGACCCCCACCCCAAAAAAGCAGCAGCCCCGGCGGCGGAGCCCCCCGCTTGCAACAGCAGCAGCAGCTGGAGGGGCTGCTTGCAAGGCGGGGGCCGGGAAACGGGGGGGGGGGGCGGGGAGGGGGGGCCCTCGGGGTTGCTGGCGAGCCTACCCGACCCCGCTTGCTGCAAAGGCGCCGGGCGGAAAGGAGGAAGAGGAGTCCGGCCGCTTCTTCTGCTGCTGCTGCTTCCCGCGAGCCGGTTGCCGGGAGGAGGAAGAGCTGCTGGGGTTGGGCTCGGCCTGCCCGGCGGCGCTGGCGGCTCCTCCCCGGCGGCGGAGGAGGGTGGGCTTTGTGCGCGGCCCTCGCCCGCCTCCCCCCCCCCCCGCTCCGCCCCGCGCCAGGCTGGGCGGGGAGGGGCCGGCGATGCCCTCGGGAGACCCCGCTGCAGCCCCGCCGGCGACGGCCTGTTCCCGCAGGGCTTGGCGGCCCAACTAAGGAGGGGGGGGGAAGAGCTCCGAGGGATCCATTTGGGGCTCCCCTCCCAGGAGCTCCCACCATGGGGGGGGGGGCTCCTTTTCACAGCAGCACCTGTGAAGGCAGCTAGGCCTCGACTTACAACGGCTCCGTTTAGCGACCTTCCAAAATCCCCATGGCCCCTGAAACAAGGGACTTGAGTGGTTTTTCCAGAGGGATGGCCATTGCAGCCTCCCCTGATCGAAATTCAGCTGCTTGGCAAGGGATTCGTCTTTATGACGGTCGTCACAGCCTCACGTTGATCCCCTTTTGAGACCACCAGACCAGCCAAATCCGCGGGGAAGCCAGAGTCAGTTGAACAGCTGTGGCAATCCGCTTAACAACTGAGCCAAGCCTGGTCGTCAAATGGGGCGAACACCTCCCTTAACAACGGCCTCACTTAGCAACATGAATTTGGGGCTCAACTGTGGTTGTAGATCGAGGACTTACCCACCGTGCTTCTAACTGAACAGATGCATTGATTCATTTAAATCACAATTGGCCCCAACATTTCTGTTGTTAAAGCGAGAGATTTGTGGAGTGAGTTTTGCCCCATTTTTGCGACCTTCGTTGCCTCGTTTGTTAAGTGAATCCCTGCCGTTAATAACATGGTCATTGAGTGAATCTGCCCCCCCCATTGACGATCACATGATCGCATTTTGTTCCCCAGTGCTGTTCTAACTTTAAGCAGTCACTAAACGAATCGTTAGTGAAGGGCTACATGTATTAAGTAAAAAACAGCATCCAGCAAGAAACAGAAATGGAGGAGAGTTAGGTTGTTATGACAAAATATAGGTAGTCCTTGATTTACAACAGTTCACTGAGCGACCGTTTGAAATGCCACCGGCACTGAAAAAAGTGACTTAGGGCCGTTTTTCACACTTAACGATTGTTGCAGCATCCACGTCTTCAAAATTTGGATGCTTGGCAACTGACTCATATTTATGACGGTTGCAATGTCCCAAGGTCAGGTGATCAACTTTTGTGCCCTTTGGATAAGCAAAGTCAATGGGGAAGCCAGATTCACTGAACAACCATGTTATTAACTTAATAACTGCAATGATTCAAATAAAACAATTGTGGCAAGTAAGGTTGTACAATGGGGCAAAAACCTCCCTTAACAACTGTCTCGCTTAACAACATGAATTTTGGGCTCAATTGTCATTAAGGCGAGGACTACCTGTAATAACAACAATGTGGATAAACATGCCAAATTCTGGGTAAATATGCAACGAATAATAATCATCATCATTATCATCACAAAGTATCGGGACTTACAAATTGAAGTTGGGAGACTTTGGGGGGGAAAATCGTGTGTGATCCCAATTGTAATTGGAGCCCTTGGAGCAATACCTAAAGGGCTACTTCGCTATTTGGAAATCCTGAATTTATCAGACTTGAATACCCTGATTCTACAAAAAAAACCCACCCTACTTGGAACAGCTTATATCCTCCGATGCTACCTGAACGGTTTCTAGGCCCTTGGTTAGGACTCGGGCTGTTGAGCTACCAACCAGCCCCAAAGGCTGTGAATCTCACTAAAGATTAACCAATTATAATAATAAAGTTTGGTGGAGTTTTCCAATTTCTGACTAAATTGGAAATTAATTTTGTTTAAAAGCGTCAACTTTCCTGAACTACAGCTCTCTTCCTCACGCCTGGAGAAGCTCAGTGGATTGAATGTTGATGAAGCGAGCTGTAGTTCACAAAAGTTGACGCCTTTTAACCAAATATTAAAGGTTCTTCCTGATTCAGAGTTTTGCACAAGACTCCTGCCTCACTTTGTTGCTGGATAATTTTAACAAACTGTGTGTTGTGCTAACTCTGCCATCCAGGCTAATTTAACCAGCCACAAAGGCTGTGAATCTCACTAAAGATTAACCACAGCATGGTGTGGCCAGAGAAGATTTTTCAAAGGTTTTAGTTTAAACAGAGTCACAATTATACACATACCAACTTATACATGTTTTCTTTTTTGCTTGTGATACTATATTGCTTTTATCTTTATTTGCTATTTTTTGAAGTGTTCTTGCAAAACAAGAAGTTGCAAACTGCAAACAGTCAGGGATCAACCTGCTGTGATCTAGAAAATTGATGCCACTTTCTGAAAGACCACATAATGTCCTGCCCTTCTTAATCCTTATTCCTGGGCAACCTCTGTGGCTTGATCAAAATGTCCTGCATCCTCAACCAGGGTTACTATCCTATCTCCAAAACCTCATTCCAGGAAGCAAAAGTCCACAAACTCAACCGGCTGTGCTAATTGTCTGGATCGTCACCTCTGGTGAAACGTAGGATTTATTGCCTTTTTATTTATTGTGTTTTCAGTCACCACAAACTCGCAGTCAAGGAGACACTTGAGCCAGTATTCCTACTCAATGCTCACCTCCATTGCGCATGTGCAGGGAGGAGGGGAGCTTGATTTAAAGGGCCAGTAGCTCCCGTTTCAAATCTCCGAGGCTGCCACTCAGCCCTGAACACAAAATGATGGGTTTTCCATGGATTGGCAACACAAACCCCACCAGTACACCAGTATGTGATCTATAACACACCAATCCCTTTTGATATTTGGATCTTAAGAAACTACGTGCTTCATACTTTCTTCTGTACAGGGGGTTCTCTACTTATGATCGGTTGCTTAATGACTGTTCAAAGTTATGACAGACCTTCCCAGAGCTATGTACAACACTCATCACTTGAGACTTTCAAGAAGAGATTGGACTGCCATTTGTCAGAAATGGTGTAGGGTCTCCCGCTTGGGTGGGGGGTTGGACTAGATGACCTACAAGGTCCCTTCCAACTCTGATTATCTGTTCCAACCAGCTTTCAGAGTTATGATAGCCAAACATTTTCCCACAGTCACACAATTGCATTTTGGGTGCTTGGTTTACATTTATGGCTGCTTGCAGCATCCCTTGGTCATGGAATACAATTTGTGATTTATTTTTATTTATTTTTTTGCTGGTTTCTGGTGCTTATTTCCAATTCCTGGTGCAAAAAAAAAAACAAAAAAAAAAACCCAATTGAGAAAATGGATTTGCTTCACAACGGTCACATTCACTTAATGTCTGTTGTAAAAAGTGGTCATAACTTCAAATCTAGCCATGTGACACCTTGATTTATTATCACAATTCTGGGGTCAATTCCAATCATCAGTCAAGAACTACCAAAGGATAATATTGTTATACAGATTACCACAAGGTGATATAATAGAATAGATGAATTTTCATGCTGTGGAAAGTATGAATGCTCCTGTTTCCCTTTTTAAGCATCCCCAGTTTTACATCTTCTAATCTTTAACTTCTAAAACTGCCAACACAATCCGAACCTTCTATTCAGGGTTAGACTGCCATCAAATCTGGAGGATTTACATCGCCATTGATCATACTTGTTCAGGCATTTGTCTATTTTATTTTAAGGGCATTTAATCCAACAAGCATTGACTCATTTGTTCTCTAACCAAATTCTATCTTTCTCTTTTGTTCCATCGCTGCTATGACTGAGAAAGAAATGCCGAATTTTTGCTGAACCTCATCTAGTGACAGGCCTAGAGTGACATCTCGCAAAAGGCTGACGGAAGCCATGACAAAAGCTAAATTTAATCTCATCTCGACTTAATTAAAACTAAATCCAATCAATACAAATACTCTCCAGTCATGCGTGTAATTAGTTTCTCTAGGACAAGCAACACTTTTCAACAATTGAAGAAAGCATCCCAATTCCCTAAGCATCTCTACCCCAAAGAATAAAGAATGGGAGATGGGTTAAACCATGGTTTTAAGGCAGAAACCATGATTAGTATCCCAATGGGAGAATCAAGCAACATGCTAAGGAAAACTCAAGTCACCAACAATGGCTTAGCCCTATGTCTCAAGTGAGCTACTAATACTACTCTATAAAGCCTTAGTAAGACCACACCTAGAGTACTGCATCCAGTTTTGGTCACCACTTTGTAAAAAAGAGACTCTAGAAAGAGTGCAGAAAAGAGCAACCAGGATGATTAGGGGACTGGAGACTAAAACATGAAGAACGGTTACAGGAACTGGGCTTGGCTAGTCTAGTGAAGAGAAGGACCAGGGCAGGCAGGATAGCAGTCTTCCAATATTTGAGGGGCTGCCACAGAGAGGAGGAAGGGGTCAAGCTATTTCCCAAAGCACCTGAGGGCCAGTCAAGGAATAATGGATGGAAACTGATCAAGGAGAGATTCAACCTGGAAATAAGGAGACATTTTTCCTGACAGTGAGAACAATCAATCAAATGGAACCGAAGTTGCCTTCAGAAGTTGTGGGAGCTTCATCACTGGAGGCTTTCAAGAGATTGGACTTCCATATGTCAGAAATGGTGTAGGGTCTCCCACTTGGGTGGGGGGGTTGGACTAGATGACCTACAAGGTCCCTTCCAACTCTGATTATGTTTTATCTGTCTGAACTTGGTTCTGAATTCAATATTACAGGTTATTCCTTGACTTAAAAAGTTTGTTTAGTGGCCGTTCGAAGTTACAATGGCACTGAAAATCATAACTTATGACCATTTCTTACACTTACAACCATTGCAGCACGCCTCTGTGTCAAGAGTATATTCATGAACTGGAATAGAGCAGGGGTCGCCAACCTTTTGGACCTCAGGGACCACCAAACTCATAATTTTAAATCCCGCGGACCACTAATATGAATTTTGACTGACGGTGGCTTGCTGACGTTGGTGGGAAAGTCGGTCCCATATTCCAGAGCTGCAGGAGTCACAGGACTGGACCTTTGGTCATCCTGGAGCAGCTGCTCCTCCACCTGGGTCCACCGACCTGCCACGGACTGGAGGAGCTGCTCCAG